GTTGCATAACTCGAGTCGAGCGGGGGGCGGGGCCGCGCGGGAGCCGCCGCCGATTGGCCGAACCCCGGCCGGCACCGCCCCCGTCGACCCCGAAGGCCCCGCCCACATTTAAAGATCCCACGCTCTCTGGCGCCTGCTCGCCCCCCCAAGCCGTCTGCGCCCGCGTGACCGGGGTGGGGGTGACCCCAGCAAAGCCGCAGGCCTGGAGACCCTCGCTACCCTGCCTTCTCCCCCCACAGTCCTCCAACTTCAGCTGCCCCTCACCCCTGCGTGCCTGGGGCTAGGTGCCCCACAAGGACAACTTGGCCGAGTGACCCGATGGGTCCCCCCAAAGACCTGGGGCTCTGCTCAGAGCTGGGGGGAACGGGGTGCGGGCAAACAGGGAGTGGAGGCTTGTGAGGCGTCTGCTGGACAGCGGTGGAGGCCACCTTTGGAAAAAGAGACACCTGCTCACATCAGGGACCCCAGTCCTGAACCCCCAAACAGCTAAGCCCAAGTGGCAGGTGGCAGGGAGCCCCGGGAAACTGGCACCCCCAGAACTGGGCGGTCCCCAAAACACTGCTCCTTCCCCCAGGACCCAGAGAACCCGTGGGCCTTGCAGCTCATCCACGCAAGCTGAGTAACACCCCTGGGGACGGACGCGGGCCCCCCGCCAAGGCCTTTCCCTGCAGCAGGCTGCGGTGGCCGCATCAGCTCTGTCCCGGTCTGCGGGCCCTCCCGCGCCCTCCTGCCCCCCACTTGTCCTCTTCCTTCCGGGCCCTGAGCCCCGGCCCAGGTCGGGGAGTCTGAGGGCATCATGGTTTCGTCTGCCCTGCTGCGCTCAGAAACAGGTGGAACGAATGAATGAATGAATGTGTGCGCGCGCGGGTGAGTGACCGGAGAGGGCAGTGACGGACGGAGGCCGAGCAGAACCAGTGACACTGAGGACCCGTTCCCTCCCCCAGAGCCTCACTGGGGGTGATGACAGCGTCCAGGCGTCCAGGGCGAGGCAGTCCTTGGAGGCCTGGGAGCCCTTGCCGCGCCCATGGGAGGGGCCGGCAGGGACTTGGCGCCCGCGACAGGGAGAGGAGGTACCAGCAGCTGTGGGGAGCCTGCACCAGCCCCCAGCACCCCCGGCTCCCCTCACCCAGGTCTCACCTTCCTACTCCAGCATTTTTTAGTAGTACTGGGGACTGAGCTCCGGGACTTTGCACTGAGCTCCATCCCCAACCCTTTTGACTGGTCAGTTTCAGACAGGGTCTTAAGCCGGGCGTGGTGGCGCATGCCTGTAATCCCAGCACTTGGGAGGCTGAGGCAAGAGGAACGTTGCGAGTTCGAGGCCAACCTGGGCTACAAAGTGAGCTCAAGGCCAGCCTGAACTGCAAAGCAAGACCCTGCCTCAAAAAGACAAAAAAAAAAAAAAAAGAGACAGGGTCTTGCTAAATCGGCCCCCCCAACTTGCGACCCTCCTGCCTCAGCCTCCCAAAGTGCTGGGATTTCAAGTTTTACCTAGCCCTTTGCACAGCACTGAAAGTGCCACACCCCAGCGACACCCTGCTCCCCCATTCCGGCCTCCTTGGAGTTCCTGCCCTGGTGAAGCTCTTGCAGCTGAGCTCCAGGCTGGCCTAGAAACAGACAGAAATTCGCAGAAGTGGAACCACGCCACGTGGGGCCCCTCCATGCCGCCTCCCCAGGGGCTGTGGCCCGAGCCAGAGGTGGCCTGGCCACTCCTGTCCCCACCAGCCAGCCAGCCACGCACCCGTCCAGCTGCCTGAATAGAGGCCGCGGAGGGCCTCCTGAGGGTTCGCCGCACTCACACTCCCGGGGCCAGAGGGTCTGAGCCTGCAGACCCGGCCCTCCTACCGCGGGCGTCCTCCAGCAGGGGGCGACTGCAGAGGGGCCGGGTGCGGCCCGTGGGGTGGAGGCCCTGCGTTCCACCTTGGCAACCACGGAAACAGAAACCCCCCCAAAAAAGAGGAAACAGGAGGAGGCTGGGGTCTTGAGCTAGGGCGGTCACGGCAGCCTCCGCCGACAAGGGGACATTAGCCAGTGTGGTGGCGCACGCCTGCCGTCCCAGCGCTCAGAAGGCTGGGGCAGGAGGGTCCTGAGTTGGAGCCCTGCCTAGGCACCTGAGTGCCTGAGACTGTATCTCAAAATAAAAAAAAAACTGTTTTCAAAGGCTGAAGATGTAGCTCAATGTGAAGCCCTGGTTTCAACTTTCAGTACCACAGAATAAATAAATACATAGCAAACTTCAAAAAGGGAAGGAGCAGGGCCTGGAGGGCTCCCCCGCCCCCGCTCCCCACCATATAAAGGCCCCGAGGCAGGGCAAGACGGGAGGGTGTGCGAGAAGACATGGGGTCCTGGCCTGAAATGCAGGCAGGCAACACTCAAGACAGCGCCCTCCCCCCTGGCCATGGAGACCTCAGGACGGCGCCGTGGGGGCCAGGCTGCCTGTGTCCTCGAGCCAGGGCCCTGTGCTGCCGCAGACATCCTCGTCCCCTTCCTCCACACACTCCAGCTGGGACCCTCAGGCAACCTCTCCCACGCTGCAACAAACACTTGACTGGTGTCCTGCCACGGGGCTGGTTTGAATAGCATGCTCCCCAAATTCGGGGTGTCCCCACAGAACCGCAGAATGTGATGTTTGGAAACAGGGTCTCTGCAGGTAGAGCTAAATTAGGAGATCAGCCCGAGCATGATGGCGCACACCCGCCATCCCAGCACTCAAGAGGCTGAGGCAGGAGGATTGCTTCGTGAGTTCAAGGCCAGCCTAAACTACATAGAAAGATTCTGTCTCAAAACACAAGGGAAAGAGCCGGGTGTGGTGGTACACTCCCAGCACTCGGAAGGCTGAGGCAGGAGGATTGCTGCGAGTTCAAGACCAGCCTGGGCTACAAAGTGAGCTCAAGGCCCACCTGAACTGCATAGGGAGACCCTGTCTCAAAAAGACCAAAAGAACAAAAAAACAAAAAAACAAAAAACAAAAAAACTCACAGTGGCTGGGGTGCACGTTAGTCTCACCAGAAGGGGCTCTTTTCTTTCTTTGGTACCGTACTGGGAATTGAATCCCAAGTCCTTTTTTCTCTACTGTTTTTCCTTTTTAAGAATTTTATTGAGGGGCTGGGGATTTAGATCAGCGGCACAGTGCCTGCCTGGCAAGCGCAAGGTCGTGAGTTTGATTCCCGGTACCGGGGGGAAAAAGAAAAAAAAGAATTTTATTGATACATTTCAGATATACATAATGATTTTTTTCTTTTTTGAGACAGGTTCTCCCTAAATTTCCCAGGCTGGCCTTGAACTTAGAATTCTCCTGCCAGGGCCTCCGAAGTAGCTGGGCCCATATGTGTGTTCCGCTGTGCCGGGCCAGGGTGTCTGTAAGGAGAGCCACGTGGAAACGCAGAGACACCGGGAGAAGACCTGGGGACGACAGGGCACAGGGTGGCAAGGCCAGGCGCCGAGGGACACCTGGAGCCCCAGAGGCTAAGAGGGGCCGGGCAGGACCTTCCGGGGCTCTGGAGGGGAAGCGGCTTTTGGACTTCTGGCCTCCAGGACAACAGAAGGATAAATTTCTGCTATTTCCAGCCACCTGCTTGAAGTCATGTGGTTGCTTGTTTATCTCACTGTTTTTTTTGTTTTGTTTTGGTTTAGTCTGGTTTGGTTTTGAGGCAGGGTCTTGCTATGTAGCCCAGGCTGGCCTCCAACTTGCTGTGACCCTCCTGCCTCAGCCTCCCAAGAGCTGGGATTCCAGGCGTGCGCACTAACCCGGCTTGTAGCTCCAATTCCGAGTGCCCAGAGACTCTTGGTGGTCCCACAGCATGTGGACAATGAGACCCTGCAAGGCTAAGTCTTTGGCCGTGAGACCTCCTCCAGGCTCCTCCCCACTGAGGTCTGCACTCTCCCCTGGGCGGCCGGCAGGCTCCTCCCAGGCTGGGCACTTTGTCCCTGCGCAGCTCCCGCACGAAAGGCAGAGCCCTGGCCACACTGGGCCCCGGCCCCGCCCGCCTCTCCGGCTCCAATCCTGTCCTGGTCCCTGCCCAGCCAGACCCACCCTCTGGGACGCCGCCTGGGACACAGCGCTACTCTTGTCCTGACAGTCCCTGTCCTCCGCGGCAGTCCCAGGGGCTGTGACGTCAGAAGCCACACGGCTGCTCTTCCCTGCTCACGGACCTTCTATGGCTCCACTGCCATCACCGTGCCCTCAGTCCAGTCCCCGCCCTGCCAACCTCTCCAGCTCCTCTGCACCCTCTCCCTTCTCCCGGTTCCCTGTGTTCCAGCCGCACCCGCCTTAAATATGACACATGCAGCTAGGTGAGGTGGTGCTGACCTGAGATCCCAGCACTCTGGGAGGCTGAAGCGGGAAGATTCCAAGTTTGAGCCCAGCCTGAGGAATTTAGTGACTTGGCAAAAAAGCTTGTCTCAAAATTAAAAAGGAAAGAAAGGAAGGGAGGAAGGAAGCAAGAAAGGAAGGAAGAATGAGCTACGGATGTGGGGATGTAGCTCAGTACAAAGGCCCTGGGTTCAACCCCAGTGCTGTGCGTGCAAAGCCAGGACCTTTGCATATGCTGCCCCTGCACCTCCAGCCTGGGCGACGCCCCTTCAGGTCTCAGCTCTTGGTCATCTCCCTGGAGAGGCCTCGCTGCCTACCTGGAGACTCCCCTCTCCGGCTTATTCTTGTTTGTTTGAGACAGGGTCTCACTATGCAGTTCAGGCTGGCCTTGAGCTCACTTTGTAGCCCAGGCTGGTCTTGAACTCACAATGATCCTCCTGCCTCAGCCTCCCAAGTGCTGGGATTACAGGTATGCACCACCATGCCCAGCTAGACTGCTTATTCTTTTTATTCCTTATTTTTTGACCGTTTCTGGTGGTGGAGATGAAGCCCAGGGCCTCGGGATGCTAGCCAAGCATTGTACCATGGAGCTGCCCTGCTTTTAAATTTTGAAACAGGGCCTGCGGAGTTGTGTGGAACTTGGGACCATCCTGCCTCAGCCTCCAGAGCGGCTGGGATTACAGGTGTGCACCACCATGTGTGGCCTCTACTGACCATTCGCTCACACATCCCCATGCTGTATTTTCTTCTCAGTCCATCTCACTTTCTTAACTGATGTCCCAAGAACCCCGACAGGGCTGACTTGGACCTGACTCAGTCCTTGCTATATTCCCAGTGCTCAGTCCCAGGAGTGGCACGCAGTAACTAGCCACTCAGTGTTTGTCGATTGACTAACTGACCACCACATTCCCCTGGGCAGCTCCCTGCTTATTCCAGAGGTCAGTCAGCAATCACAGGGGACAGCAGTAGAAGGACTGGATGTGTGTCCTGCAGACCTGATTTGACTGTCCTGGCTGTGTGACGTTGAGCAGGTCACACAGCCTCTCTGGGTGTCCTGTGACAGAAGGGGGGACTCGGGGGCTCTTGAAACCCTTCTCTACTGTTATCATCTCTGTCACTGTTATCTCAGTGTGGCGCCTTCTCCCCTCACCAGGCTTCTGCCCGACCCCAAAGCCCAAGCGGGCATCACTCACCCTGGAGTGCAGGATTCTCCTGGCTGCGCTGCTGCCCCAGGCCTGTCCCCTTCCGTCCCACCGGGTCTTCTGCGGGAGACCTGCGTGGGGCAGATACAGGGTGTGAGGCGGGGCGCTGGGCTCCAGGAGCTGGGGGGCTCACTGCTCCGGCCCGCTGTGATGTCAGGGGTCACCTTGGAGTGTCAGGAACTTAGAGCCAGGGCTCTGTGTGTCCCAGGCGGCCCCAGGGTGAGCCGCTGTCTGACTCCCCGTAGCATGCCGTGCACTCTGCCTGCTGAGTCCCCCACGATTCGGCTCCCCATCCCCGTGTTGGGAGGGGCAGCTCTGCAGGTGCTGGAGGGGAAACCGGCGTGAACTTGAGCACCCCGCTGGGCCAGAGCTGGCCCTGAGGTCGGCCTGGGCGGTTCCTTCCTCCCAGCCCCTCGCCTGCAGGACGGCCTCTGCCCAGGTCTCCGCGCCGCCCTGGGCCTGGGGGGCAAGGAGACGGGGGACAGGGGGGGGACACGGAAAGGGGAGGTCTCAGAGCCCAGGGGATGGAGCTTAGGGCCCCCCAGCTCTCACACCCCACAGAGCCCCAGAGCCAGGCAGCAGCCGACCCGCAGGGGACCCCAGCAGCAAGGCCCTGGGGCTGGAGGCTCTGGCCCGATACCTGCTGTGCCCCGTGCCCCAGCCCCACCGCCACTGGGTGACCTTGGGCTGGCGCCACCCTCGGGCCTCAGCCGCCGCCCCCCGCCTGTGGGTGTGGGAAACGGGATGGAGGGTGCACAGTGGCCGGCGGGTCGGGGATCCCCTCTGCCGCGAGGGCCAGCCCAGGGAATCCCCGGCACGCAGAAGAGGCAGGGAGGGCGCGCCGGCAGTGGGGGCCCAGCCCCCCACAGAAGGGAGTCCCCAGGTCCCCGCCCTCCTTCTCTGCGTCCCTAGCCCGGCGCGGGAGCCTCCTGGTCCTGGGGACCTAGGGTCGGGGTCCATGTTAGGGGGGACACGGGGCACACCGCGCCCCCGCCCACGAGGACGAAGAGGCCAGGCTGGGACCCCCGCCCGCGCCCTCGCCGCGGTCCACTCACCCGGAGCGCCAGCCGCGGAGCCCGCGCCTCCGAGCACACAGCCGAGCGCACGGGCGGGAGGCGGCGAGCGCGCAGGGAGCGGAGGGGAGGAGGAAGGAGAGCAGGGGGAGCGGAGGGGAGGGGAGCCCCGCAGTCCCGCCCCGGCCCCCCCGGGCCGAGACAGCGAATCCGAGAGGCTCCCGCGGCTGGGAGGGCCTCTGCGGCTGCCGACGCAGGTGCGCAGTTGACAGCTGGGGAAACCAAGGCCAGCAGAGCGGAGCCCCGGCCGGGCGCAGCGCCCGGGCAGCACGGAGCGCGCCGGCCCCTGGCTCCGGGCTGAGCCGGCATCCGGGCAGGAGGCGGAGCCG